AGGGGTGAGGTAGTGGCGGAGTCGGGCGATGTTATGGAAGTGAGGGAAGGGAAAGCGGGTCATGGCTTGGATGTGGGGAAGAAGACAGTTGAGGGTCGAACAAGACACCGAGGTTCCTGACTGGCGGTGAGTTGTAGTGTGCAACCATGGAGGTTGACGCTTCCAGAGCCTGAGATGCTGAGGGGCTGGCGTGAACCAATCAGGAGGTCCTCAGTCTTGTTCACATCCAACCGTAAGAAATTTGCCCTCTTACTTCTGGTACTTGATGACATATTCGGTATTTTTGATCAATGTTTCGCGAGGTCTTATTTTCATAATAATGAGTAAGTAGTATTAGCTTGATCTTATGAGAGCTTATGTTTCAGCTTTCAGATAGTCAACCAGTTATAGCTTTGGTTCATATCAAGCCGTGTTTCGCCCACAAAATAAACTCTGCTTTACAGTACATGCTATGAAGCTCTTTGAGATATCTCAACGACATGATAAGATGCTATATCAAATGCAAAAATGATTATTATTTTTGCTATGTGTACATGTGTGAAGTTGCTGTTGTGCATGAGCCACATGTGAAATTCCACAGTGCTGCAAGAGCAATTTACATTTGGCAGCAACAAACTGTTACAACAAAGTGCTGGGCTCGATCGTCAATCTTGTGAGCTCAGATCCCCAGAGGTCACACTGTACTCGAGTCAGGCCACACCTTGAGCACTGCAGACAGTTCTGGTCACTGTGACATAAGGGGCTGCTCAGGCCCCAGGATTGCTGCCCGGTGTGGAGGGCGTTGTGTAAATGCAAGTTGTTGTTGTTGCAAAGCCAGTGCAGAGGAAAGCCCTGAGGCTGATCCCCAGTGTTAGTGGAATGAGCTGTGAGCAACGATTAGACAAGGCAGAGCTCTTTATTGTTGAGAGAAAACAACTCAGAAAGGACCTAATAGAAGTGTTTAATATTTGAAATGAGAATGAAAAAGTAAATCAACATCAACACTTTCAGAGGACACCGGTTTAGAGATATAAAGGGGGCAATTTCAGGACAGACACCAGGAAGTGTTTGTTTACCCAGAAGGTAATTAATGACGGGAACAGGGTTACCAGGAAGGGGGTTTGAGGCCAGGACACTGGAACTTTTATAACTTCAGGGCACTGCTGATGACAGTCCAGTTAGCCAGGCTTATAGGCTGGGCTTGGAAGGGCTGATCAGTCACTGGGGCAGGGAATCCTCCCACTCAGCTCCTGTTAACCATGTAAACCAAAGCCCTAACGGGTTGGGTGGTTCTAGCTGGACAAGCATCCCTCAATGGCAAGCTATGCGGTTTTACAACAACAACAAAATTGCATTTTGTTTTATTTTATTTGTTGTATTTTACGTCGCGGATTTGTCCCAAGGCGCTGGACAGTCTGTGTTTCGAACCCGACTGGAGGTCAGGACTGGGGAGCGTGGAGGGCCGGGGGGAAGGAAGGTGATCAAAGTCACGGTTGAAGAGGAGGGTCTTGAGATGGTTCTTGAAGGAGGTAAGGGAGGGGGCGAGGCGTAGGGATGGAGTTCCAGAGGGTGGGGGCAAAGTGGCTGAACGCCCGCCCGCCAATAGTGGAGCAGGTGAGGCGGGGGTTGTGAAGCAGGCCAGAGCCCGCTGAGTGGAGGGAGCGGGCAGATTGGTAGGGGATTAGGAGGTCGCACAGATAGGGGGGAGCAAGACCATGGAGGGCTTTGAACGTGAGCACCAGCATCTTTATCTTTATCTTCCGTGTGATGGGAAGCCAGTGGAGTTGGGCAAGGATGGGGGTGATAGGGTCACGGAGCCTGGTGTGGGAGAGGACATGGGCTGCAGAGTTCTGGATGATCTGCACCCTAAGGAGGGAGGAATTGGGGAGGCCGACAAGCAGGGAGTTTGCATAGACACACGTGGATACCCCACCATTGGCGGGCGAGCATTTAGCCACTCTGGCCCCACCTCTGGACTCCATCCCGCAGTCCCTCTGCCTTGCCCCCTGCCTTGCCTGCTGGACAGTCAGTGTGTATTTGAGGGTTTCGGTAGCCTGCAGTGTGAGACAGTGGCGGAGCCGGGCGATGTTACGGAACTGGGGGATGGCAAAGTGGGTGTTGACACGGATGTGAGATAGAAAGGATAGTTGAGGGTCAAACAAGACCCCAAGGTTCCTGACTGGCTCAGTAAGATGGAGTGTGCAACCATAGAGGGTGATGCTGTCAGTGTCTGAGGTGTGGAGGCGCTGACGGGAGCCAAACAGGAGAGCCTCGGTCTTGTTGACGTTCAACTGAAGAAAGTTACCTCTCATCCAGGACTTGATGTCTGACAGACATTTTCGCAGTTGAGACTCCAGCAGTTACCCCAACGCACACTCTGGAGTCCCCAAGCCTTGACTCTTGCCAACCTGTGCCTAATACTCTCCGGAATTAGTGATTTGGGGAGTGAGTTTCAGAGGGCAGGGTTCAGTGGCTGAAGGATGGGTCCCTGATGGTGAGTGGCGGGATTGAGGAACAAGGAGAATGGAGGGAACCGGCCACAGAGTGGGGCAGGAGAAGGGATGTGAAGGATCTTGTTGTCAATCTGCCAGTTGTGCGCAACTGACTGCCTGTTTCATCCACAAAATAGTAACCCTTTCATTTGATATAGTGCTTTTCATTGTCTTCGAGACATCGCAAAGTACACAGTCAATCCACTTTACAGTTTATCCTAACAACGTGATCAGGCGCAATATCAAATGTAAGGATTATTATGACAGGATTGGGGTTAGAACCAAGTGGTTTACATGGAAACAAACACCGGCGCGGCCTGGGCAGGGCACAATCTGTTTCAGTTCCAGAACATTCTCAGATTTCAAGCTCAGGATATGAGAAGTTCTCCCACCCACCCACACTGTCCTGTGACTCTGTCAGCAGCTCGGTGCAGTGTGAGGCTGTATAAGGAAGAGGTCACTGACCCCCCCAACATCCCCCCGCCCAGTCAGCCAGCGAGGATCTGTCTGGGACCTTGGTTTAACGTCTCGTCCAAAGGACGGCACCTCTGACAACGCAGGTTCCCCAAGCACTGTACTTGAGCTCACAGTCTAGGCTGACGTTCCAAGACCTGATGTGCGGCTCGAACCCACAGGCTTTTGACTCAGAGGCGCGAGTGACTGGGCCTGTGAGTGCAGCTCCGAAAACGTCAGCCTGGTTCACGCTGAAGAAAGGAGAAGTGCAGCGAGGATATGGTTCTGCAAATCAGGCAGTGAAGATCAGCTGCTCAACTTTAACTTCGACTTTGTTTATCTATGGAGCCTTTCAGGGTGATTAGCCACTGTAAACGTGCAAGTTCCTTTCTTTTTTGGCTTCTGGTTACCTCTGCAGGAAGGGTCATTACTGCAGCCTATTGTAACGGTCTTTAGTCCAGTTCCTGAGTCAGCATTGTCAAGAGTTGCTGTTGTTTGGACACCGAGGTCCTGTCTGTGCCCTGTTGAGGTGGACATTAAAAACTCTATCACACTATTCAAAAAGAGATGGCAAGAAGTTTCTCGTGTCACCTGACTGTTTGAAGGACATCGCTGTGCATAAATTGTTGAGTTTGCCTGCAAGTACAATCACTGCACTTGAGAGTCATAATAATAAATAATAATAATCCTTGCATTTGACATAGCACCTTGTCACATCGTTGAGACGTCTCAAAGCGCTTCACAGAATATACTGTTAAAGTGTAGTGACTATTTTGTGGGTGAAATGCGGCAGCCAAATGCTCACAGCGGTGTCCCACGAACAGTCATGACCACATTATTATTATTACTGTGAAGCTCTTTGGGGTGTTTTAATAGAATCCTACAGCACAGAAGGAGGCCATTCGGCTCTTCAGAAGAGCCGCACAACCAGTCCCGCACCCCGGCTCTTTCCCCCTATCCTCGCGCATTTGTCCTCTTCCAAGTACCGATTTAATTCCCTTTCGAAAGCCGTCGTGGGATCGGTTGCCACCGCGGTCAAGAGGCAGCGCGTTCCGGAGCGGAACAACTATTCTGCGTGAAAACATTTCCCTTCGGGTTCGTATGTTGAAGCGGTGTCCCCGGGTTTACTGACCCCACCCACCACACAGCGGGAACAGTATCTCCCCATCCACACTCCTATCATCCGGTACATTGCTATATGCAAATTGCAAGTATTATTATTATTGTTGTTGTTGTTGTTGTCTCTGCCCCCCCCCCCCCCCTGGGGTGACAGTGCAGTGGGGGCAGCGGCTCAGAGCCTCCCCCTCTCCCCCCCCCTCTCCCCTCCAGCCCCCCCTCTCCCTCCAGCCCCCCCCCTCTCCCCGGTCCCCCCCCCTCTCCCCAGTCCCCCCCCTCTCCCCGGTCCCCCCCCCTCTCCCCCCCCCTCCCCCCCCCTCTCCCCCAGTCCCCCCCCTCTCCCCCCCCTCTCCCCAGTCCCCCCCCCTCTCCCCGCCTCTCCCCAGCCCCCCCCCCCTCTCCCCCCCCCTCTCCCCAGCCCCCCCTCTCCCCCCCTCTCCCCCAGCCCCCCCCCCTCTCCCCCCCCCTCTCCCCAGCCCCCCCCCCCTCTCCCCCCCCCTCTCCCCAGTCCCCCCCCTCTCCCCCGCCTCTCCCCAGCCCCCCCCCTCTCCCCCCCCTCTCCCCCAGCCCCCCCCCCTCTCCCCCCCTCTCCCCCAGCCCCCCCCCCTCTCCCCCCCCCTCTCCCCAGCCCCCCCCCTCTCCCCCCCCCTCTCCCCCCCCTCCCCCGCCGCCCCCCCCCTCTCCCCCCCCCCTCTCCCAGCCCCCCCCCCTCTCCCCCCCCCTCTCCCCCCCCCTCTCCCCAGCCCCCCCCCCCTCTCCCCCCCCCCTCTCCCCCAGTCCCCCCCCTCTCCCCCCCTCTCCCCAGCCCCAGCCCCCCCCTCTCCCCAGCCCCCCCCCTCTCCCCCCCCCTCTCCCAGCCCCCCCCCCCCTCTCCCCCCCTCTCCCCAGCCCTCTCCCCCCCCCTCCCGGGGACCCGCCCCTGTGGGGCTGCGGCGCGGGGCACGTGACCAGTGTCACATGACCCCCTCCCGACAGCGATGGCGATGGCGGAGGGTTATGGAGGAGTTGAAGGGTCAGCGTCACTGAGAGGGAGTGAGGGAGAGAGTGTGAGAGAGAGGGAGAGAGAGTGAGAGAGAGACTGAGAGAGAGGGAGAGAGTGTGTGAAATAGAGAGAGAGTGTGTGTGAGAGAGAGAGTGTGAGAGAGAGAGAGAGAGTGTGAAATAGAGTGAGAGAGAGACAGAGAGGGAGAGTGTGTGAGAGAGAGAGAGAGTGTGTGAAATAGAGTGAGAGAGAGTGAGAGACTGAGAGAGGGAGAGTGTGTGAGAGAGAGAGAGTGTGTGTGTGAGAGAGAGAGAGTGTGTGAGAGAGTGAGAGAGAGTGTGTGAAATAGAGTGAGAGAGAGTGAGAGACTGAGAGAGGGAGAGTGTGTGAGAGAGAGAGAGAGTGTGTGTGAGAGAGAGAGAGTGTGTGAGAGAGTGAGAGAGAGTGTGTGAAATAGAGTGAGAGAGAGTGAGAGACTGAGAGAGGGAGAGTGTGTGTGAGAGAGAGAGAGAGTGAGAGAGAGTGTGTGAAATAGAGTGAGAGAGAGTGAGAGAGGGAGAGTGTGTGAGAGAGAGAGAGAGACTGAGAGAGGGAGAGTGTGTGTGAGAGAGAGAGAGAGAGAGAGTGAGAGAGAGTGTGTGAAATAGAGTGAGAGAGAGTGAGAGACTGAGAGAGGGAGAGTGTGTGAGAGAGAGAGAGAGAGAGAGACTGAGAGAGGGAGAGTGTGTGAGAGAGAGTGTGACAGAGACTGAGACAGAGAGAGTGAGAGAGAGTGAGTGTGTGAGAGAGTGTCAGAGACAGAGAGACTGAGAGAGAGAGAGACTGAGAGTGTGAGAGAGAGAGTGTGTGAGAGAGACAGAGAGAGTGTGAGAGAGAGTGAGTGTGTGAGAGAGACTGAGAGAGAGAGAGACTGAGAGAGAGTGTGAGAGAGACTGAAAGAGAGAGTGTGTGAGAGAGAGTGTGTGAAATAGAGTGAGAGAGAGTGAGAGACTGAGAGAGGGAGAGTGTGTGTGAGAGAGAGTGAGAGAGAGAGTGTGTGAGAGAGTGAGAGAGAGTGTGTGAAATAGAGAGAGAGAGTGAGAGACTGAGAGGGAGAGTGTGTGTGAGAGAGAGAGAGAGAGACTGAGACAGAGAGTGAGAGAGAGTGAGTGTGTGAGAGAGTGTCAGAGACTGAGAGAGTGTGTGAGAGAGACAGAGAGAGTGTGAGAGAGAGTGAGTGTGTGAGAGAGACTGAGAGAGAGTGTGAGAGAGACTGAAAGAGAGAGTGTGTGAGAGAGAGTGTGTGAGAGAGAGACTGAGAGAGAGTGAGAGAGTGTGAGAGAGAGAGACAGAGAGAGAGAGTGAGAGACTGAGAGAGAGTGAGAGAGAGTGAGTGTGTGAGAGAGTGTCAGAGACTGAGGGAGAGAGAGAGAGACAGAGAGTGTGAGAGAAAGAGAGTAAGAGAGACAGAGAGATTGTGAGAGAGAGTGAGTGTGTGAGAGAGACTGAGAGAGAGAGACTGAGAGAGTGTGAGAGAGACTGAAAGAGAGAGTGTGTGAGAGAGAGACTGAGAGAGAGAGAGAGTGAGAGACTGAGAGAGAGTGAGTGAGAGAGTGAGAGAGAGAGACAGAGAGAGAGAGAGACTGAGATAGTGTGAGAAATACTGAGAGAGACAGAGATGGAGATAGAGTGTGAGCGACTGAGATGGTGTGAGCGAGCGAGAGACTGAGCGAGCGAGAGAGGCTGAGCGAGCGAGAGGCTGAGCGAGCGAGAGAGGCAGAGAGAGAGAGAGAGAGACAGAGAGTGAAAGAGAGAGAGACTGAAAGAGAGAGAGAGAGACTGAGATAGTGAGAGACTGAGAGAGAGTGAGAGAGACTGAGCGGGCGAGAGACTGAGACAACGAGAGAGCAAGAGCGAGAGACAGAGTGAGCGAGAGACAGAGTGAGCGAGAGACAGAGTGAGCGAGAGACAGAGTGAGCGAGAGACAGAGTGAGCGAGAGACAGAGTGAGCGAGAGACAGAGTGAGCGAGAGACAGAGTGAGCGAGAGACAGAGTGAGCGAGAGACAGAGAGTGAGCGAGAGACAGAGAGTGAGCGAGAGACAGAGTGAGCGAGAGACAGAGTGAGCGAGAGACAGAGTGAGCGAGAGACAGAGAGTGTCTCTAAATTTATTTCCTTGTCTCACTTTTTGTAGCAGCTATGTCTCCTGACCCTTGACCCCCTGTGCTTCCTCGGGTGTCAGGGGGGCTCTGGGCACGGAGTATCCCGGCTGTAACGTGTTCTCTAATCTCCTCCCTCAGGGGCGGCACTCGCTCAAAGGCTGTCGTGCTGTCAGAGAATGGCACCATCTTGTCAGAGATTTCAGGACCATGCACCAATCCCTGGGTGAGGAGCCGGACTCAGCCCTGTATCTCACTTTCACTCACTGGGGTCAGAACACTGGGGCCATTGATATCAATGGCAAACTATGTGGTTTTAACTGGTTCGACTCCAGCAGTTACCCCAACGCACACTCTGCGGTCCCCGAGTCTTGGCTCTCGCCGACCTGTGCCTAACACTCTCTGGAATTAGGTAAACAGGATGTGTCCCTCCAGGGAGAGAGCGCACATTCCATTCCAACAACCTGACTCTCGGATTTCCGTGTGTAAGTGGGATACATGGAAATGTCAGTTTGGTTTAGAGACTCTACAGCATGGTGAAGGGTTTCTGCATGTATCAGACACCCGACTGACCAAAAAAAGAGGAAGACTTTGCTATGGGCTGCACACAAACTGTCACCCAGGCATCCCCCCGAGCTTGTGGGTTAAAGCTCCTACATTATGCTCCTCATAGTCCAGGTTGATGCTCCAGCGCAGTGCTGGGGGAAGTGTTGCAGTGCCCGAAGCCTCGCACTTCAGATGAGACATTAAACCAAGCTCATATCTGCGACGATTCAGGTGGATGTTAAATATCCTGCTGTGCTGCTCGAAAAGAGAATAATAATAATAATACTTGCATTTGATGTAGCACCTTATTGTCTCAAAGCGCTTCACTGAATATACTGTAAAGTGGATTGACTATATTTGTGGGTTTTTTTTGGGGGGGGTAGGAAGGATTATTACCCCCGGAAAGCAATCCACCAATTGACTACAACCGGATTCCTACTTACTGCTAGGTAAACAGGTGTGTGGAGTAAGGAACTTGCCTAAGGTTTCTACCTGCCCGGGAATCGAAGCCGGGTCCTCTCGCTTGTGAGGCAAGCGCTAACCACCACACTGCAGGATCCCCAGTGAGAAGGTAGTTTCTCTCTCCGGGTGTCCTGGCTGACAATGCCCCCCAGATAAAATCGGTCACTCACTCCCTACAAATGTTTGCGGAATGTTGCTGTGTGTAAATTGGCTGCCACGCTTTGCCTACAAAATACAGTCGCTGCAATTCACAGTAAAATCCTCTGAAGCGCTGTGAGACATCTTTATGACGTAATAAGGCTGTATCACTGTAAGGAGTCTTGTTCGTGCGCGGGCCGGTAACTCGGATTGTGACGTCCCTCGGTGTTTAAGATCCCTCTCTTTGTTTTGCTCTTAGCTGGTCGGGGAGGAGAAATGCATTGAAATCATTTACCATTTGGTGCAAGATGCCAAGGTTCAGAGCGGTTTAAACCCCAAAGTGCCTCTCAAGGTCCTGGTAGGTGACTGGCAGGGAGGGGGTAACAACAACAACAACAACAACAAGATTCCATTTATAAAGCGCCTTTCACGTCAGGAGGACGTCCCAAGGCGCTGCACAGTTGGGTCATGACCCGAGCAGGGGGGAAATGGTCAGGGTGAGGGGAGGGAAGGGAGGGGGTGAGGAGGGGGAAATGGTCAGGGTGAGGGGAGGGAAGGGAGGGAGCAAGGAGGGGGGAAATGGTCAGGATGAGGGGAGGGAAGGGAGGGAGCGAGGAGGGGGGAAATGGTCAGGGTGAGGGGAGGGAAGGGAGGGAGCGAGGAGGGGGAAGAGAGTCGAGAGGGGAGCTGAAGGCACGGTCAAAGAGAAAGGTTTTGAGACCGGCCTTGAAGGAGGAAAGGGAGGAGGCGGCGAAGGCACTGGGGGATAGAGTTCCAGAGCCTGGGGGCTGAGAGGCTGAAGGCCCGACCACCGATGGTCAACTTGCATTTACATTTACATTTACATTTGCATTTACAGAGCACCCTCATGCAGGATAGCATCCCAGAGAGCTTGACAGTGGCGGAGCACGATGCAGAAGGGGGTTGGGGTGTGTAACCCCAGGCACGGTCAAAGAGGAAGGTCTTCAGGCGCAACCTGAAGATGGGGAAGGTGGAGGGATAGAGGAAGAGTGTTCCAGAGTTTTGGGGCATAGTGGCTGAAAGAGGGCACGAGGGGTAAGCAAGCAGCTGGAGCTAGTCGAGCTGAGGCAGGGGGTAGAGGGTTGGGAAGTAAGCAGGTCAGAGAGATAGGGAGGTAATGAAAGGATTTGAAAACAAGTTAAATTAAAAATGAGTTAGATTATGAGGACATGTTGCATAAACTTAGTCTTTATTCCCTTGAGTTTAGGAGGTTGAGAGGTGATCGTTACTGTAAAGCGCTCTGAGACGCCACCCAGCGTGGAGGGCGCTATATAAATCCAAGTTGTTGTTGTGGTTGATCTGATTGAGGTGTCTAAAATAATAAAGAGGTTTGATAGGGTAGCTACAGAGAAACTATTTCCTCTGGTGACGGAATCCAGAACAAGAGGCATCATCTTAAAATTAGAATGAAATTAAGAGGCAGTTTTTCACCCAAAGGATTGTAGAAATCGGGAACTCTCTCCTAAGAGGCTGTGATATTGGATCCATTCACATTTTCAAACCTGAGGTGGATAGATATTTGTTAGGTCAGGGTATCAAGGGAAGGTTGAGGTGCAGACAATCTCGAGGGGTTGAATGGCCTACTCCTGTTCCTATGGGGGTGGGAGGAGAACGGAGGATTGATTCCTGGACTCGTGGTATTCCCGTTAGCTTTGCTTCATCTCCAGGGTATGTCATTGAGTGGTGTGGAACAGAAGGAAGCCAGTAGAAGGCTGAAGGGGCATCTGATATCCCGATACCCGATGATGGCCGAGCACATCTTCATCACCACAGACGCCATTGGAGGGATGGCAACTGCCAACAACACCGGTGAGCTCTCGACAGCACAGGGTTAAACATAATAATGTGGTCACTCAATCCACAACGCTTTCTGAGACACTGCTGTGTGCAATTGCCTGCCGCGTTTCACCCACAGAATACACCGTCAATTCACTTTACAGTATATTCTGTGAAGGGTTTAATTATGAGGACAGTTTGCATGAACTTGGTCGCTATAAATTGAGTTTAGAAGTTTAAGGGGTGATCTGATCTGATTGAGGTTTTTAAAATAATAAAGGTATTTGATAAGGTAGATACAGAGAAACTATTTCCTCTGATGTGGAATCCAGAACAAGGGGCATCAACTTAAAATTAGAGCTAAGCCATATAGGAGTGAAATCAGGAGGTAGTTTTTCACCCAAAGGGTAATGGGAATCTGGAACTCTCTCCCCCAAAAGTCTCTGAATGTTGGATCCATTCACATTGTTAAGACTGAGGTGGATAGATGTTTGTTAGGTCAGGTTATCAAGGAATACAGGGTGTCATGGAGCTTGGTATTTTATACCCAGTGTTTTAGTGATTAGAGTTGGGGCTTCTCGAGTCGAGAGGACAAAACCAGTATCCCGTTTATATTAACAAATTTAAAATATGCACTTCTTGAAATAAATTTAAAATATTAATGGGCACAAGCATATATTTTGACAACACCCCAAACTGAGTCAGAGCTGTAATATATAAAATGCTGGCTCTTACGGTTTGAGCAGAGGAGTGAGCTGACCCACTTGTTTGTTACAACAATAAATTACATTTGTATAGTGCCTTTCACGTAAGGAGGACGTCGCCAAGGTGCAACTCTCCTGCCTGCTCAAACTCCTAGTGTTTTATCCCCTTGTGCCTCTGACACTCACACAATACACATTCATATAGATGATAATTTTTCATGTAAATCAGGGCTACTTCAGACAACAACAATATCCTTTAACAGTTCCTCTACCTGTGGGGTGTAATAATAATACTAATCCTTGCATTTGATATAGTGCCTTTTCATGTCTTCTCGGCGTCTCAACGCGCTTCACAGAATATACTGTAAAGTGAATTGACCGTATATTTGTGGGTGAAACGCGGCAGCCAATTGCACACAGCAGCGTCCCACATACAGTCGTGGATTGAAAATGACCAATTTATTATTGTTTTGTATTTTGGAGGGATTATTATTAGGTGTGTGGAGTAAGGAAACTTGCCCAAAGTTTCGCCCTGCCTGGAAACCTGGTAAATGCTTATTAGGCGCAGTTTGGCAAGAGCCAAGGCCTGGGGACCTCAGGTTGTGTGTTGGGGTAACTGCTGTAGTCTAACCAACTAAAAACACATAGCTTACTAGATATTGCTGTCTTGCAAGCTTTCCTGCTGCTTGTCCCAGATAATGGGAGCCATGTGGCTAAGAAACTCACATAGCATATTCATAATATATCAAAGGCTTTTACAAGGACCGTACCAGAGAGTGAGCAATGCATGTCTGTGGAGGTGAACTACATTATAATAATTATACTTGCATTTGATATAATGACATTGAGATGTCTCAAGGCGCGTCACAGAATATATTATGAAGTAGATTGACTCTGTATTTTAGGTGAACGCAGAAGCCATATTTGCACACAGCAATGTCCCACAAATAGTCCGGAAGTGAGTGAGCAATTTATATTTGGCAGGATTGTCGGACAGGACATCAAGATAGAGAAACTCCCTTCTCTTTTCCAATAGTGCCACGTGATCTTTAACATCCACCTGAACAGGGCACAGACAGAACTTTAGTTTCACGTTTCATCTAAAGGACAGAGCCTCCTTCAATCCTCCGTTTCCCCCCAAACACTGCTTTGGAGCCTCAACCTGGATTGTAAGCTCAAAGTCCCCGCCATAGGGCTTGAACCCACAACCTTTTGATTCAGAGCCGAGAGTGCGAGCCGGACTGACATCATGATTTCAATGTACTCACCTATAAATTCTTTAACGCCTTAACACCTCCATATCTCTCTGAACTTCTCATATGCCAGTCCTTCGCCCGCCCCCTCTGCTTGGCTAACTAGAGCTTGTTGCATGCCCCCCCCCCCACCCCCGAGATGTTATTCTTTGTGAATGGCGCTGCATAGCTTTCAGGAGGGAACTAGATAATTAGGTATAAAAAGGAGTAAACAACAGTATGTGGGGATAGGGCAGTAAATGGGACTTAATGGATAGGAATGCTCTTTAGTATACCATGTGCCGAATGGTTATCTTCTGTGCCGGAGGTGTGGCGCGGGGAGAGACACGGAGTTGCATAGGTTAGAGTCATAGTGAGTTAAGGCCGAGTCTACCCCTAGCCTCCCTGCCTTACATTCTTCCTGATCCCAAACCCCAGCTTGTGTCCAAATCCTTGACTGCCCAGTGGTTTGGGACGTCTTCCCGATGTGAAAGGTGCGAGATAAATGTTATTTGTTGTTGTGGGGGTGAGAACACAAAGCAGGTTTGTGTTAGCGAGTGTCTGGGGGGACAAAGGAGTGAAGTACAGGTGGTCAGTGAGCTGCTGGAGTGTGGCGGGATTGATATTTGAGGTCAATCCATTTGAGACAAGGAGCCAGTGGAGCCTGGCCAGGTGATGGGGGTGCGGAGTTTGGTGCAGGTGAGGACACGAGTGGCTGAGGTTTGGATGAAGTGAAACATGGATGGTGGGGAGAACTTTTGAGAAATCAAGGCAGGAGGTGCACCCACTATTTCCCACCCCACTTGTTCTCTGTCAGGCATTTTAACTACAGCTGTGTAAGTACAAGTCACATCCTCTGTGTACAGTACTGAGAGAGAATCTGGCTGATCACCTTGCCCTCTCATTCCCTCCCCGAAGCCTTGAGATTCATGCTCATTGTGATAAGACTTTTATGACTACACAGCTTGCAGGTTATCTCTGCCCTTTGCATCATCCTGTACATTATACATTAGGAGGTTGTTGATTGTCTCGCCTCTGGGTCAGAAGGTTGTGGATTTATGTCTGAGACTTGAGTTCACAGTCTCACAGGCAGGGAGAGGAGGGCAGGGGAAGGTGTGTTGCTTTGTAGGAGGCTCCATCCTTCATACAAAGTGGAGTGCTGTAGCGTAATGGTTAAAGCTCTCGCCTCACAAGCAAGACCCGGATTCAATTTCTGGGCAGGGCAAAACCCTAGGCAAGTTTCCTTACTCCAAAAGGCTCTGTTTAGCTTTGAGACGCCTCGAAGACGTGATAAGGCGCTAGATCAAATGTGAGGATTGTTATAATTACCTAGCAGTAAGTAGGAACCCGGTTGTTAGTCGATTGGTGGATTGCTTTCCGGGGGTAATAATCCTCCTAAAATAAAATGTGATTACTCAATCCATGACTGCAGTGCACAATTGGCTGCCATGTTTCACCCACAAAATGCACAGTCATTCTATTTAAGGCGCTATATCAAATGCAATGATTATTATTATTATAATAGAATCTTATAGCTGAGCTCCCATCTGTGTCTGTTCAGGTGGACGCTAAAGATCCCGCGGCGCTATTGGCAAAGATGATTGTCCTGGCCAACAATCCCCCAGATAAATCGGTCATTCACCTCCCAATGGTGCAATCATTGACAGGTTTGACATAAATAGGCTATTTCCACTGGTTGGGGAGTCCATAATCAGAGAACACAAATATAAGATAATGACTAGGAGATCTGAAAGAGAATTTAGCTGGGTCGTGAGATTATGGAACTCGCTGCCTATAGCAGTGGTTGAATCAGATAGTGTAGATAATAATAATGTTTGTAGGACACTGCCGTGCACAATTGGCTGCCGCGTTTCACCCACAAAATATACAGTCAATTCATTTTACAATATATTCTGCGAAGTGCTTTGAGCAACGCAAAGACGTGATAAAGTGCTAAATCAAATGCAAGGATTATTATTAATATTCCTTGCATTTAATATGGTGCCTTATCACGTCGTTGAGATGTCTCAAAGCACATGACAGAATATATTGTAAATTGTATATTGACTGTGTATTTTAAAGGCAAAACATTCAATGATTCAAGATGCTTTGAAGAGGGAGCTAGACCTTCATATGAGAAAGAGGGAATAAAGGCTGTGGGAGGGAAGGGTGAAGACTCCTCTGGAGTATAAACACTAGCACGGACTGGTTGGGCCAAGTGGCCTGTTTCAGTGCTGTACATCACATGGACAAGGTTCTTCCAGATGCTCATTCTCCACCATTCACAAAGTTCAGCTGATTCAGATCTGTGCTGCCCATATCCTTACCCACACTGAACTCCGCACCCCCATTTGAAACAGGGAGTCAGTCCTTGCCAGACCCCACTGATTCCCTGTTGCAAAATGCATTGATTTCAAGATCCTGATACTTGCATACAAATCACTTCATGTCCCTACCTCCCCGACCTGCTCTCATCCGACTTCTCTACCTGCCTGCTCCAGACTCTTCCTGTACGTGCCTCGCCCCCTCCGCTCCACCATTTGTGGAGTCCTGTAGTGGAGTGGTTAGTGCGCTCGACTGGCAAACGAGAGGACCTGGGTTCGATTCCCAGGAGGGGCGAAGCCTGAGGGAAGTGTCCTTATTCCACAACCAGAACAGCAACAAATTGCATTTACACAATGCCTTTAACGTCGGGAGGACGTCCCAAGGCGCTGGACAATCGGGGATTTGGACCTGAGCAGGGAGTTAGGATCAGGAGGGGTGGAGGGCAGGGAGGGTAGGGGTAGGAGGGTGACAGAATATGCAGTCAAAGCGGAGGGTCTTGAGACATGCCTTGAAGGAGGCAAAGGAAGGAGCAAGGAGAAGGGAATGTGCGATAGAGTTCCAAAGGGGCAGAGCGGCTGAAGGCCTGACTGCAGATAGTAGAGTGAGCTCGGCATCATGCTCCGTCATCGTCCAGTGTGAAGGGCGCTATGCAAATGCAAGTTGTTGTTGTTAATGCTATCAGCGCCTGAGGTGTAGAGGTGCTGGTGGGAGCCAATCAGAAGGGCCTCGATCTTGTTGATATTCCTTACTCCACACACCTCTGTTTATCTAGCAGTAAGTAGGACCCCAGTTGTTAATCGATTGGTGGATCGCTTTTGTTCGCAGGTAATAATTCCTGAGAAAAAAATAATAATTTGGTCACTCAACCCATGACTGTCTGTGGGACACTGCTGTGCACAATTGGCCCCCACGTTTCGTCACAAAAAGATACAGTCGATCCACTTTACAATATAATCTGTGAAGCACTTTGAGACGTCTCAACGACGTGATAAGGCGCTATATCAAATGCAAGGATTACTATTATGTTATTATGAAGCACAAAGTGCTCAAAATCTCCACCTCAACTCAGGCCATTGTCCCCACTGACCCACAAGTTAGCTGTCCTGTCAACGATACAGGGAATCTGACAGCTGGGCATTTGAACGCAATGTAGCCCACCATCCTGTCTGTATCAAATGCAAGAATTATTATTATCTGGGGTGGGGGGGTTGGAGGGCAGTTAGGAGGGCAGTGTGGGGTGGGACTCTCTGCCGAGGTGCCCTGATGAAGGTTTGTGTTGCAGGAGGCATTGTGCTGGTGGCCGGAACGGGCTCTAACTGTAAGCTGGTGAACTCCGACCTCTCGGTCATTGGCTGCGGAGGGTGGGGGCACCTGATTGGGGACGAGGGTTCAGGTGAGTCGAGAGGGGAGCGGGAGGGGGCCAGCGCTGGGGAATCTCACCCCGGCTGCCCGCGAGGCTCTGGTTAAACTCACTAACTCTGGGCGAGACATGCCTTGTATGGGAGCTGCCAATAGGTGTTTGGGAGGAGAAAAAATATTCTGGTGTTTTCGCTCTCCACCGGATCGCCACGTTATCTGATTTCACCCCCCCCCCCCGCCCAGCCAACGCCTTATAACAGGGTTCACTGACTGTGCAGGTGGTTGATGTTGACTGGAGTCAGAGCGTGTTCCTGCCTCTATCTCTGTCTCTTACTCTCCCTTTCTGTATCTCTCACTCTTTCTCTGTGTCTCTCGCTGTATCTCTCGCATTTTCTCGTGCGCTTGCTCTGGTTCTCTTTTGCTCTCGCTCTTCCACTCAAGCTTTCTCCCTCTCTCTCCCTTGCCCTCTCTCTCTCTCTCCTGCTCCCTCTCATCCTCTATCTCTCTCTCGCTCTTTCTCTCTCCCCCCAGCATACTGGATCGCACAGACTGGTATCAAATGCGTCATCAACGGCCTGGATAACTTCGAGTTGCCCCAGTACAGCTTCCGCAACCTGGAAAGAAAGATATACGAGTATTTCCAGGTACCTTCTCGCCCCGATACCCCAACCGTCCTCCCAGCCTGAGCAAGAGAGGGACGGAGAGCAAGAGAGAGCGCGAGATCAAGAGGGAGAGAGAGAGATAGAGAACGAGAGCGACAGAGAGAGCTTGAGAGGTCGTCTCGTAGTGTGTCGGGTGGGTGACTGGGAGACCTGGTGTGGTGGGTAGGGGCGGGGAGGTGGAACGATGGATAACAGTGTGATTGAAGAGATGGGACACAAGGGGTCTTTAAAGGTAGGCAGAGGGGAACGGTGAGGTGGAGAGAGAGGAAAGGTGAGGCGGAGGGACTCTGGGATGGAGCTTCAGAGAGCAGGAGCAGAATGTCTGAACGCTAGCCCGCTGATGGTGGGGGAGGGGGCATCGACCAGCCCAGCGCTTGCTGAGCGCAGGGAGTAGCCGGGAAGGTAGGGCTGCAGGAGGTCACAGAGGTCGGGTGGGGATGAATCCATGAAGGGGTTTGAATGTGAGGCCGAGGGTCTTGAATAATAATAATAATCTTTGAATTCGATATAGCGATTGATCATGTTGTTGAGACATCTCACAGCGCTTCATAGAATATTCTATAATGTGAATTGACTGTATTTTGTGGGAGAAACTCCATCCGCTGAGGGAAGGGGAGCCATTGGAGCTGAGGGAAGATGGGAGTGATCCCCAGTGTTAGAGGGATAAACCACGAGGAATGACGGAGAAAATCGAATTCTTCAGCCTTGAAAGACATCCTCTCAGATGGGGAAATTATAGGGATTGTGGAGGCCATTCAGCCTGTTCTATATGTGTGTTAGTTCCTCTACTGAGTTAGAGAGCTCCAGTGGGGGAGCGAGCACCAGGGCAGACGCGATGGGCTGAGCAGCATTAAGAAGATAATTGACATTCTGCTTTGAGGAGGTAGGGGGTAGGGAGGGGGGGTGGTAGGGATTTGGTTTGAAACTCTTGTCATGTTGAGGTGATATTGAAAGCCGTTCCTATTACTCTTCTCTCTCCTCTTCCTCTCCCCCCACACCCTCTCCTCTCTTCTCTTTCCTCTCTCCCCCACCTCTCTCTCTTCCCCAACTCTCTCTTCTCTCTTTCTCTCCGCAGATATCGAATCCCTTGGATCTCCTTGATCACTTTTATCACAACTTTGACAAGTCTAAAATTGCAGGATTCTGTTACAAAATGTCAGAAGGTGAGCTCTCTCTGTTTAGGGGTTTCGAAGCCTTGTCTTTCTTAACCATCTACGCCCCACCATATACAAACACACAACTTACTCACCTCCAATCTTTCTCATTTTCTGCAACCGTCTCTCCTCTTTGAAGCCCTTTACAGCGCCACACTTTTTTTGGCCATATGCAGAAACCCATCACTATAATTAGCCGGGTGTCTTGACACACACGGAAACCCATCACCGTGATCAGCCAGATATCTTGATAGACACCTTGCTTGAGTCTCCAAACCAGACTGAGAGTTCCACATGTGTATGCCACTTACCCCTAAAAACTTCTGATGTCTGGAATGGAACATGCACTGTTTCTTTCTCTCTCTCTCTCTCTCCGCAGAGGGATATACTTACCTAAATCCGGAAAGTAGGCGCAGGTTGGCGAGGTCCAAGGCTTGGGGACCTCAGAGGGTGCGTTGGGGTAACTGCTGGATTCTGACCAGCTAAACCCACATAGCTTGCCACGGTGTCCGGATGCACGGAATACTCATTCTGATTTGGAGTCTCTTATGCTGTTGATGGGTTTCCACACATGTCAGACCCCCGGCTGACCCGAAACCAAAAATGATTGCGCCTCACACCACGTGACCCTCGTTATAACCTCTTGTCCCGCTCCTGCTGTCTTGATGTGTCTTTAGTTCTCGTTTTCTGAATTTAATATTTACTACCACTCCCCAGAGAGTGTCTGAGACCCGCCACTCTTGAGTGGCCTGTGACAGACTGGGGGGGAAGGGAAAGAACTGAGAATTATTTTTATTCTCTACCCCCCTCCCCAGTGGCGTACAACTCGGACCCCCTCGCTCGCCGAATCTTCCGAGACGCTGGAATGCATCTGGCTCGGCACGTGGTTGCTGTGCTACCGAAAGTCGACAAGGTAAGACCCCTGCACACCCCTCCTCCCACACAAGCCCCCACTCAACCCCACAAACACACATGAGACCTCAAGAATCCATTGTAACTGGGGGCAGGAACTCTTCCCACTCAGCTCTTGTTAACCTTGTAAACCAAAGCCCTAACAGGTAGTGTGGTCCTAGCTGGACAAGCAGTGGGAAAGCTTGCCAGACAGCGATATCGATGGCAAGCTATGTGGTTTTAGCTGGTTAGACTCCAGCACACACCTGAGTCCCCCAAAGCCTCGGCTCTCGCCAACCTGCACCTAACACTCTCCAGAATTAGGTGCATCCCTCCAGGGAGAGAGAGTGTAGACGTGGGGAAATTCCCATGTGGAGGTGGCATACATGTGTTTAACTCTGTCTGGTTCGGATACATAAGCACAGGATCAATCCCTCCGCCTTGCCCCCTCCCTCCTCACTTTCAAGTCCTGCCAAAAGACCTTTTTGATCGTGCTTACGGTCAACTCCACCCTCCCTCTCCCCCTGGCCCCCTGCCACTCCGCCACTGTCTTACACCGCAGGCCCGAAACCCTCATACACGCATTCATAACATCGAGGCTTGACTATGCAAACTCCCTGCTTGTCGGCCTCTCCAACTCCTCCCTCCATCGGCTGCAGATCATCCAAAAATCTGCAGCCTGGGTCCTCTCCCACACCAGTCTCCGTGACCCTATCACCCCCAACCTCGCCCGACTCTACTGGCTTCCCATCAACACAGAGGATACAGTTCAAGATCCTGGTCCTCACCTTCAAAACCCTCCGTGGTCTTGCTCCCCCCAACCTCTGGGATCTCCTAACCCCCACCATCCTGCCCAGTCTCTCTGCTCAGCGAGCTCCAACCTGTTTCACATCCCTCTCCTCACCCTTTCCACCATTAGCGGGCGAGCCTTCAGCACTCTGCTCCAACCCTCTGGAACTCCATCCTGCAGGCCCTCCACCTCGCCCCCTCACCTCCTTCAAGATCCATCTCAAGATCCTCCTCTTTGACTGTGTCTTCGATCACCCTGCTTCCCCCCTGCCCTGCATCTTGCCCGATCCCAAACCCCAGCACGGGTCCAGTGATTGTCCAGTGCCTTGGGTCCTCCCGACATGAAAGGCGCTATACAAATGTAATTTTGTTGTTGTTGTCAGAATGCCACTGTCGAGCGCTCTGGGATGCCACCTCATGTGAAGGGCTCTATATAAATGCAAGTTGTTGTTGATGGGTTTCTGTCTGTCAGACACACGGACACCCTAGATGCCCCTCTCCGCTAAAACCCCTTCTGGCAAACTTCTCCGCTAGAGCCCTCCACTCTAAAACTCTTTTCCCCCCCCCACCCAATAAAAAACACAGCAGACAATTACGCACAGCAGTGTCCCACTAACAATCATGGACGGAGTGGCCAAATTATTATTTTTTTTGAAGGGATTATTACCCCCAGAGAGTGATCCGCCAATTGACTAACAAATGGGGTTCCTACTTATTGTTGGTACAATGAGAGGTGTGCGGATTAAGGAAACTTGCCTAAGGTTGCACCCTGCCCAGGAATTGAACCGGAGTCAGCTCGCTTGCGAGGCGAGTGCTCTAAACAGTACACTACAGGACTATGTATGTATAGAGAGATGGATGTGGTTTGGGGTGCATTACTGTCGTTGACTGATGGAGAGCATCTCTTGTGTTGTAGAAGCTGTTTAAGGCTGAGACTGGGCTCCCCATTGTGTGCGTGGGGTCAGTGTGGAACAGCTGGGACCTGCTCCGGGAAGGTGAGAGCCTCGTTTCCACATCACACCATCAGCACTGCTCAACACCCCTCGAGGGAGCTTTACTCTGTCCATAATCCATTCTGTGGCTGACCTGGAAGTGTAAATGGACAGTGGTGTAAAACGTGTGTCTTGCATTGACAGGATTCCTGCAGGTATTGTTGGAGGCTCAGAGATCGTTTCCCAAGAACACCTACTTCAAGCTGAGCCTGATGAAGCTGACGTGCACGGCGGCTCTGGGAGCTATCAACCTGGGCGCCAAGGAGATCGGCGTCCACATTCCCATCTCCTACACCAACAATGTCAATATCTTCTACATTCACAACTTCCTGACTCCCAAGAGCTGATGGGGGAGTGTCCCCACTCCGCTCCCCACCACTAAATCCCGCCAACTATGCTTCCTTTGCTCGTGGGAATCGTGTGCTTTTCTTTTATCTTCACTCAACCCAAGCCAATCCCATTCCACCCACTCATGCACACACACACATGTCTTCTCTCTTCTTGTCCCCTTGAGTTGCTGCCCAGTCTCTAACTTGGGGTATTTCCTAAAAGGAAACCTTCAGAAGGAGCCCAAGTTACCTGATCATGGGCCTGTCTCCCTCGGGGAGATATCTATCCACTGACCAGGGTCTTTCAATGGTTGAACGTATGCACCGAGGCCCTCCAGTGGTGGAAATGTAGTTCTGCAGGACATCCCATAGGAACAGGAGTTCAGCCACTCGAGCCTGTTCCGTCGTTCAATAAGATCATGGCTGATCGATCTCAGCTCCATTTACCCGCCTTTGCTCCATATCCCTTGATACCCTGACGTAACAAGCATCTATCCACATCAGTCTTGAAAATGTGAATGGATTCAGCATCCACAGCTTTTTGGGGGAAAGAGTTCCAGATTTCTGGTGTACCCATCTCAGCAACACCTCGTGTTAATTTTAATTTGTGTCTTTGCCCTGAGACGAATCCCCTTCCCCCACATACCAGAAACTTCGCTGGGGGTAGATCTCACTCACTGAACGTCCACCGATCGCAAAATGTTATTGGAAACGCTTCCCTGATGTCCTGGCCACTGGGACGGAGAGAGAGAGAGGATGTTTCAGAGGTTATTCACAGTGCCTGTAAACTCAGACATTGATGGTAGTGCTGAGGGAGATGGAGTAGACAACGACCCTGTTAGCGGAGGAGGCGCGGGAAGGAGTGGGGAGTGAATAGATCAGAGAGATAGGGAGGTGTGAAGGGATTTGTAGATAATTGTGGGGATATTGAAACCGATCTGCGGGGGCCAGTGGAGCCTGGTGGTGAGTGGGGTGAAAGGGGTGTAGAGTTAGTGCGGGTGAGGATGAGGGTGTCAGAGTTTGGGATAGGCTGGGACTGGGTCTCGGAAACACTGATTTGCTTTAAGACCCATAGTCTGAAATTCCTGATGATTTAACTAGGTGCAATATCAAACAAAAATTATTACTGTTATTACTCCGCCTTCGCACTTCAACTCGCCTACTGCTTCTGGGACAGAAAGTCGCAGGTTCGAGCCGCTTTGCCTCCCACTCCCTCTCTTTCCCTCCCCCCAATAAAATTGATCATTTGCCTCAAGACTCGTGGGATATTGCTGCACGCAAACTTGCCGGAGTGTGTCTCATGTTGTCAAGAAATTCTTCAAATTCCTTCTGATCAGCAACTGTTCGAATAAACATGACATTTTTTTCCATTGTTTTTGTCATCTTTTTGGGGGGAGCTGGTGATCGGGAAATGGAGGGACCCAGAAAGTAGAGACTTTTGGCAAGGATGCGGGTGGGGAGAGGGCCGAGGTTATTCCTCGCTTGGAATAATAGGAGAGATTCCAGTCCATTGAATTTAGAACCATAGAATTATTCAGCACAGAATGAGGCCATTTGGCACATCGTATCTGTGCCGACTCTTTGAAAAGAGCTATCCAGTTCAATCCCACTCCCCCCGCTCTCTCCGAATAGCCCTGCCAGCTTGTCCTCCCCGAATAATTTTGAAAACTTCTATTAAGTCTCCTCTTAACCTTCTCTGCTCCAAGGTGAATAATCCCAGCTTCTCTAACCTCTCCTGATAACTGAAGTCCCTCATTCCTGGTACCATCCTGGAAAATCTCTTTTGCACCCTCTCCAATGCCTTGACATCCTTCCTAAAGTGTAGTGCCCAGAACTGAACACAGTCTCGAGCTGAGGCCTAACCAGTGTGTTATATAAAGGTTCATCATAACTTCCTGACTTTTGTATTCTATGCCCTATTTATAAAGCCTAGTATCCCGTATGTTTTTTTAACAGCTTTATCTACCTGTCCTGCCACCTTGAAAAATTTACCTATATGAACCCCCAGGTCTCTCTGTTCCTTCGCCCCCTTTAAGATTGTACCATCATCTTATATTGCCTTATATTCCCATTCTTCCTCTCAAAATGCATCACTCCGCAGTTCTCCACATTAAACTTCATCTGCCACTGTCTGCCCATTTTACCAGTCTGTCTATGTCCTCTTGCAGTCTGCTACTATCCTCCTCACTGTTTGCTACTTCTCCTAGCTTAGTATCATCTGCAAACTTGGCAATTGTACCCCCTACACCCAAGTCCAGGTCATTTATATATGGGGCAAAATCTTGGCAAGATTCCTTACTCCACATGCCTGATAATAATCCCTCAAGAAAAAAAAGCAATAAAAAGGTCACTTCAATCCACGACTGTTTGTGGGACACTTCTGTGCGCAATTGGTTGCCGCGTTTCGCCCACACATATATACAGTCAACTCACTTTAGAGTATATTCTGTGAAGCGCTTTGAGATGTCTAGCAGACATGAAAAAGCACTATATCAAATGCAAGGTTTATTATTATTATATAGATCAAAAACAGCAGTGGTCCCCATACTGACCCACCACTGCACACTTCCCTCCAGTCAGAAAAACTACCGTTCACCACTACTCCCTGCTTTCTGTTTCCCGGCCAGTTCTGTATCTATGCTGCCACTGTCCCTTTAATACCGTGGGCTTCTATTTTGCTTACAAGTCTCTTATGTGTCACTTTATCAAACGCCTTTTGAAAATCCATATAAACGACATCAACTGCACTACCTTCATCCACCCTCTCCGTTACTTCCATCAAAAAACTCTTATCAGGTTTGTTAGACACGATTTGCCTTTAACAAATCCATGTTGGCTGTCTTTATTAACTCATGTTTTTCTAAGTAAAAATGTATTTTGTCCCGGTTTATAGTCTAGAAGTTTCCCCACTACTGATGTTAGGCTGATTGACCTGTAGTTCCTGGGTTTATCCTTCTGCGCTTTTTTGTACAGGGGAGTAGCATTTCCAACCCTCCAGTCCTCTGGCACCACCCCGGTGTCCAAGGAGGGTTGAAAGGTTGTGGTCAGAGCTTCCGTTATTTCCACCCTCAGTAACCGAGGATGCATTGCGTCCGGACCGGGTGACTTATCTATCTTAAACACTGACAACCTTTTTAGAACCTCCTCTCTGTTTATTCTTATCTTATCCAATTTCTCTACCCTCTCCTCCGATACTGTGGCATTGGCTGCATCCTCTTCTTTTGTGAAGACAGATGCAAAGACTCATTCAGTACGTCAGCCATGCCCTCTGCCTCCACAAGAAGATTTCCTCTTTGATCCCTAATTGGACCCATCCTACCTTTGACTAACCTTTTATTCGTTATATGCTTATAAAATACCTTAGGGTTCCCTTTTATATTACCTGCTAATCTTTATACAATCACTTTGCCCCTCTTATTTCCTTTTTCAGTTTTCCTCTGTACTTTCTATAATCTATTTGATTATCTTCTGTATTTTGAACCTGACATTTATCACGAACATTTTTCTGTTTTCTTTTAATCCCAATTTCCTTATTCATCCAGGGAGGTGTGGATGCCCTACCTTTCCCCTTTGTGGGAATGGAATCATAGAATTATACGGCACAGAAGGAGGACTTGTCAGGACTGTTCTCGTTTGGAGGATTCAGGGAGAGAAAGAACTTGTGACTGATAAAATATCTCAACAGTTCTTCACAGGCAACTGCAAGTGAAGTGACTGTTTTGTGGGTGATTACAGCTGCCAATTGCAGCTGTACATCGACGTCCCACAAACAGCTTTGAAGTGAATGAGTGATTTTATAGGAACACAAATTGCTAGACAATAAAAAACCAAGGCCCTTCTAGTTCGTCTTCTCCCATTCTGGTCGTCGCAAGTTATGATAATGGAGATGCTGATAATAATAATCCTTGCATTTGATATAGCATTTTTCACATATTCCAGACGTCTCAAAGCACTTAACAGACTATACTGTAAAATGAATTGACTGTATGTTTGTAGGTAAAAATGCGTCAGTTATTGCACACAGCAGTGTCCCACAAACAGTTGTGGATTGAGTGATCAAATCATTATTTTTTTTGAAGGATTATTATCCCTAGAGAAGCGATCAACCAATCAACTAACAAATGGGTTCCTGTTTACTGCTAGGTAAACAGAGGCGTGTGGAGTAAGGAAACTTTGGCCCTGCCTAGGAATTGAACCCAGGTCTTGCTTGTATGGATTCATCCATAACAGTGTGCAGTGTAGTGGTTAGCACGCAAGTGAGAGGACCTGGATTCGATTCCTGGGCATTGAGAAACCTTAGACAAGTTTCCTTACTCCACACACCTCTTTTTACTTAGCAGTAAGTAGAAACCCAGTTGTTAGTCACTGGTCTAACAACTGCACTCCTCGCCGGTCTCCCCAGCTCCACCATTCAAAAGATCCAGCTCATTCAGAACTCTGCCGCCCGCATACTGACCCGGACCAATCTCTGAACCCACATCTCACCAGTTCTGGCCCGGCTCCACTGGCTCCCCATCACCAAACAGATCGACTTCAAGATCCTCACACTTGTGTTCAAATCCATTCACTCCCTGACACCTCCCAACCTCTCCGACCTCCTCACTCCCCAGTCCACCACCTGGCGTCTCCGCTCGACTGGCACCGGCCTCCTGCTCGTCCCTCACACCCTCCCCCCATGATTGGATGTGCTTTCAGCCAATACACCCCAAAACTCTGGAACGCTCTCCCTCAATCCCTCCACCTTGCCCCCTCCCTTTTTTCAAGTCCTGCCTGAAAACCTTCCTCTTCGACCATCCTTGCGGCTACCTCCCCACCCCTCCCCCTCACCTGGCTCGGAGTCAGGCTCCACCACTGTTAAGCGCTCTGAGACGCTACCCTGCGTGGAGGGTGCTATATAAGTACAAGTTATTGTTGTAGTCGATTGGCGGATCACATTTATGGCGGTAATAATCCCTTCAAAACACATATATAATAATAATTTGGTCACTCAATCCACGACTGTCAGTGGCACCCTGCTGTGCACACTGGCTGCCACATTTCACCCACAAAATATACAGTCAGTTCACTACAGTATATTCTGTGAAGTGTGTTGAAACGTTTCAACAACTTGATAAAGCGCGACATCAAATGCAAGATTATTATTATTATAACAAGCTTTTGGAACCTTAGATCCAAAGTTGCCTGGTTGTTCCAAGCCATACTGCACTTATTACATGTCATTTCTCACATTACTCATAATCTGTATCCCAAAATATTATTTTCTTAAAGAAATCTGGGGGATTATTGGCCATGATGCCAGGAGAGAGAAACTCCCACCTCTTCCAATCTTTAATGTTTCATCTGAAAGATAGTGCCTTCGACAATTCAGCGCTTCCCCCCAGTACTGCGCTGGAGCATCAGCTTAGACTGAGCTCAGAGGCTTGAACCCATGACCTTCTCACTTAGAGGCAAAAGTGCTGGCTGAGCCGGGCTGACGTGGAGATGGTGGGGAGAGGGCGGGGAGAGGGCGGGGAGATGGTGGGGAGAGGGCGGGAGAGGGGGGAGAGGGGGGGAGAGGGCGGGGAGATGGTGGGGAGAGGGCGGGGAGATGGTGGGGAGAGGGCGGGGAGATGGTGGGGAGAGGGCGGGGAGATGGTGGGGAGAGGGCGGGGAGATGGTGGGAGAGGGCGGGGAGATGGTGGGGAGAGGACGGGGAGATGGTGGGGAGAGGACGGGGAGATAGCAGGGAGAGGGCGGGAAGAGCACGGGGAGATGGCGGGGAGAGAACGGGGAGATGGCGGGGAGAGGGCGGGGAGATGGGGGGAGAGGGCGGGGAGAGGGCGGGGAGAGGACGGGGAGAGGACGGGGAGAGGAAGGGGAGAGGACGGGAAGAGGGCGGGGAGAGGACGGGGAGATGGTGGGGAGATGGTGGGGAGAGGGCGGGGAGATGGTGGGGAGAGGACGGGGAGAGGAAGGGGAGAGGACGGGAAGAGGGCGGGGAGAGGACGGGGAGATGGTGGAGAGATGGTGGGGAGAGGGCGTGGAGATGGTTGGGAGGGGAGGGGAGAGGGTGGGGAGATGGTCGGGAGAGGACAGGGAGATGGTGAGGAGAGGATGGGGAGAGGGCGGGGAGATGGTGGGGAGAGGGCGGGGAGAGGGCGGGGAGATGGTGGGGAGAGGGCGGGAAGAGGACGGGGAGATGGTGAGGAGAGGACGGGGAGATGGTGGGGAGATGGTGGGGAGAGGGCGGGGAGATGGTGAGGAGAGGACGGGGAGAGGACGGGGAGAGGGCGGGAAGAGGACGGGGAGATGGTGAGGAGAGGACGGGGAGATGGTGGGGAGATGGTGGGGAGAGGACAGGGAGATGGTGAGGAGAGGATGGGGAGAG